AAGCACCCCCAGCATATCTCAGGATATCTCATATCAGCATATCTCAGTTCGGGAAACGAAATTTCATCCAAATATTTGTTGGTGCATTCTGTGGTCAGGCCCTCTGTCGTTTACAAGAATAAGACATGATCTATGCCCTTGAAAACCTCACAGTCTACAGTGTGGGAAGCAGGCACATACCCAACAGTGTGGTCAGTACTGTTTTTTAGGGATGAGCAGAGGAGTGGAGAGTCAAACTGCTGCCTGGGCTGGGAAGAGGGTAGTCAGAGATGATTTCACAGAGGTAGTGACATTTTGAGCTAGACTTTGAAAAAATGAGTTACCCATGTGAAAGAGATGGGGGCTGGATGGGAGGGGTGGTATTCGGCAGAGGGAACAGCACCAGCAGAAGCACAGAGGTGCCAATTTGTAGCTGTATGTAGGCCATTATGATGTGTGGGAGGAGTGTTGAAGGATGTGGGAAATGTATGTTCGGGTCAGTATTTCAAAGGGAGCCTTGAATGTCACACTGAGGAGTTAAATCTTCACCTGTAAGCAACAGGGAGCCATTAATAGTAACATAAGATCAGGTAGTCATTCAGCAAACAGGAAATGCCTACTGTTATGTCTTGTAGTAAGAGTGACAGAGAAGCCTGAGTTATGGTCTTTGTCCTCAGTAATGTTAGATTCTAGTTGTGAGAATGAGATATACAAAAGTGAAGTGCTTCCTCACAATATCAGGTGCAAAGTTTGTAGGCCCAGATGAGTAGAGCAGATGTAACTTAGGGTCAAAAAGACTTCCAGAGGAAGTAGCACTGGAGCTTGGGCAGTAAAAGAACAGAAAGACTCAGTGAGTTGATAAGGAGGCCATTCTAGGTTCAGTATTAGTAGAGCTAGGAGGCTCTTCAATCCTTTCAGATTGAAAAACAAATCCAAAGTCAGGAACGAAGAACCCCAGGCTGATACACCCTGTTCTCTATCACCTAGCATGTGGGAGAGTGGGTGATAAGATACAGAAGGAAGTGCTGCACCCACTCTCTTCAGCCCCAAACCTCCCATAGCTTTTCTTGAGGCTGGCAGTGACCAGGATATATCCTTTTAGGTCATATCCAAAGTAATGGAGATGTTCCAGCCCAGTGCAGTCGTCTTACAGTGTGGCTCTGACTCCCTATCTGGGGATCGGTTAGGTTGCTTCAATCTGACCATCAAAGGTGAGATCAGGTAGCATAGGGCTGGGTGGGTAGGGTCTTGGGTGCTTCTTTAACCCAGCACCACCTTCTCCCACCAAAGGGCATGCCAAGTGTGTGGAATTTGTGAAGAGCTTTAACCTGCCTATGCTGATGCTGGGAGGAGGTGGCTACACCATTCGTAATGTTGCCCGGTGCTGGACTTATGAAACAGCTGTAGCCCTGGACACAGAGATCCCTAATGGTAATACCTCCAGGGCCAGGTTGGGTTGGATAGAGCTGGAGCTCATGTGTCCTCGGGTTCACAATCCCTTTCCCACTGGCCATATGACCACTTCTGATACTAGCCATTGATTCTCCTGTCTATTCTCTTGATTGTCAGACCATGGCCATTAGTTTTTCCTGAGTCTTTTTTGACCCTGTCCCCTCTTCCTCCTGCTTTTAGTCTGGACAGAATTATCAGTGGTTATCTATAGCTTTGGAATTTCTACTCTATAGGGTAACTGGGATAGTGAGTGAGGAAGTGTTCCCAATGAGCATTGCCTAAATTTTTCTAAACCAGGGGCTTGGGCCTTCTCATAGTGAAATAGATAGATACACCTCCCCCCACCGCCCACTGGTATGGACGCTGGCATTAAATGGCATTAAAAAGATTAACATCCTATAGGCACCCATCTCACCCTATCTTGGATCCATCCTTTGTTTGGTAGTTGGGCTAACAGGTCTAGATAAACCTACAAATACTTTTCTCACAGTCCCATGGTTTGGCCAGGTTGACTCTCTGTTGACTCTCATATCTCCTTCCCCAATTAGAGCTTCCATACAACGACTACTTCGAATACTTTGGACCAGATTTCAAACTTCACATCAGCCCTTCTAATATGACTAACCAAAACACGAATGAGTACTTGGAGAAGATCAAGTGAGTATATCTCCAGAAACCCCTCGATTGAACATTCCAGGCTCTGGTTTGTCCCTAACTAGAGCCCAGCCACCCTCTCTACCATTGGCCATAGACAGCGACTATTTGAGAACCTGAGAATGCTGCCCCACGCACCTGGGGTTCAAATGCAGGCGATTCCTGAGGATGCCATTCCAGAGGAGAGTGGTGATGAAGATGAAGAAGACCCTGACAAACGCATCTCGAGTAAGACCCAGACCCAGGGGCCTGTACTTCCCACTCAGTAGGCAGCTCTGACTTCCCTCCACTGTTCTTGGTTCCACATTCCCCCCATACTACCCATCTGTTGAAAAACCTAAGTTCCAAGTTCCAGTGCTTGTAGGAAGCATGAATTCCCTTTCCCGCTTCTATTGGTCTCCTTCCCTTGGTGTGTCTTGGACACGCAGGGAAGCACTGGGCACAGACTTAGAGATCAAGAGTCTCCTGCCCTCGATATTTTTCATTGCTTCCTAGTCTGTTCTTCTGACAAACGAATTGCCTGTGAGGAAGAGTTCTCTGACTCTGATGAGGAAGGAGAAGGTGGTCGTAAGAACTCTTCCAACTTCAAAAAAGCGAAGAGAGTCAAAACAGAGGATGAAAAAGAGAAAGAGCCAGAAGAGAAGAAAGGTAGGTTTGGGTTAGGCCAGGACTTGGGTCTTGAGTCCCAGGCTCTGGAGGATGGTGAATCTATGTAGGGCACTGGGAGGAGGAACTGACAGCTTTCCTTTGGGGCTCTTCCTCAGCTCCTTGGGCCTTTCAGTGGCTCCCAGAAGTGGCAGGGCTCACAAAAGAATGAAACTCTATTCATCATCTCTCCGCTGACTGATTGAGCCTTGCCAGGCTCCAGGCCAGGGGCATGCCTGGGCGCTCTGTGGTCAGGAGCATGGCTCTCACATACCACCCAAGCCCTTTTCCTGGCACTTCACCCGTTTCCCAGGGGGCTGCCTCCGCCCACCAGGTTCAGGCTATAGCAGGCCGTGAAACCGGTCCGACTTGTTTGTTCTCAACAGGGCTCACTGGGTGTACCTGGGATGGGCTTTTCTCTTTTGTATGTCCAGTGAGCTGTAGTGTGGGGAAGGGGTTCCTGGGTAAGTGAAGACCCCATGGGTCTTTCCAGAGGGGCTGTTCTTGGCCATTCCTGCACTTTTGTGTTCTAGAAATCACAGAAGAAGAGAAAACCAAGGAAGACAAGCAAGAAGCCAAAGGGTGAGAAAGGATCTTGTCAGCAATCTCCCTGGCATTGGTGCACCAGCCCCTTTGTCCCACCACACTGAGGGAAAGCACAGGGACAGCTGGTCCAGCTTACAAAGGCCTCTTTCAGGGACCAGTCTGTCCATCTCTGCCGTTCTAGGCAGAGCTAGAAAGCCCCAGCCCTCAGCTGTCACCTAGGGTCCTGTGGAAATCATACTACACTTTTGCCTCGAGGCCCTAGGGGTGGGTTATCTCATACCAGTCTCTGCTCTCTCCACAGGGTCAAGGAGGAGGTCAAGTTGGCCTGAGCAGACCTCTCCAGTTCTGGCTTCTTGCCAAGTCCCCCACCTTTCTCCTGCAACACCTCAGATTTTATATTTTCTATTTCTGTGTATTTATATAAAAAAATATATTAAATATAAATATCCCCAGGGACTAAACAGGAACCAGGGCCACACATGTGTGCCCAGGACACACATGCTGGGTGAGCTCTTCTAATAGCTGCCTTGCCACCTAGTCTTCCCTAATTCTTAATTTCGAACCATAAAGGGTACTGAGTCTGGGTAAAAGGCATTATCTTAAGCAGCCATAGGACAAAATCTTGAAATGACAAATGCTTGCTTAGTAGCTTTGGAAAGGTACCCTTATTGAGCATTCTAGAAGGGGTGGCTGGGTCTTCAAGGACCTGGTTCTTTTCAGGTTCCTTAAGGTGACATCAGCCATCTTTAGATTGGTTCTGTTCTCATACTTTCCCACTGGCCCCAAGTAAGCCAAGAAACACACTGCCTGCCCTCTCCTCCCCCACCCCCCGCCCCGTTCTGCAGGTGGAGATGGGTAGTTTCCTTTTTGAGATACTATTTTCATTTTTGTGAAAATCTTTGTAATAAAATGGTACATTTCTATGCCCTCCTGAGCTTGTCTCTTAGCAGTATCCCTGGGTTGATTGACTCCACTTCTCTGCCCTTCTGGGTCCATGAGGATCTGGGCAACCCCCCAACAACAAAAGAACCCCACAGGATTAAGATTAACCAGTCTTCTCACCCTTCCCCCATAAGACCACTCATTTAAAGGCATCATTAAAGGGACAACATTTATTCCTTTTCCAAATGTTACAGTAAAACCAGGTGGAAGAGAATGGTTTTAGCAGTTAGGAAAAAAGTACAAATCTGGGGTTTGGCCATTAAAAGTTATTTACAACAATGGGAGGGGGAAAAAAAACCAAGTTGTTTCACATTACAGACCTCCCCCCCACCCCAAAGCCTAATACTTGCTTACCAAGTCAAAAAAAGAGGACACAGTTGATTCACAAGTTGGAGGTTTGAACTTGAGTAAGACATTTATAAAAACCTAGACAGGGGAATGGTCCTCCCCCAGCCCAGGTGCCACTAGGCACAGCACAAGAGACTAAAAATTCAACAGAGGGAAGGCTGGACACTCAGGATTTGAAGTATAGGCACCCCACATCTGGCTCAGAGATTTGGGGAGTAAACAAAACCTACTTGGAAAAGAATT